CAGGATTTTACAGAGAACACCCGCGCAAGTTAATAAACAAGGGTACTACCCACCAACTCGTGGCATTCAGTGATGCAAGTAACATAGCAATGGCTGCGTGCGTATACATAAAACACAAAGATCAGTGTAAAGTACTGATCGCGAAGACCAAACTACCTTCACTGAAAGGAAACCACACCATACCAAAGCTCGAATTGAATGCACTTACCCTAGCAGCCAGACTGACCCTTTCGTCCTATAAAGAGTTGCGAGAAGTCACTACCTCAAGGCAGTTTATCTCTTCTCAGACTCAGAAATAGCACTGAACTGGATCAAGAACGCTAATAGTGCGTCAAAATCGCTGGGTGTACTAGTGAACAACAGAATAAAAGAAATAAAAAACATAGTTGAAGAGTTCAACAACAACAACATCACGGTACACTTCGGATACATTCCGCACCAACATCAAACCCATCAGATTGCGCAAGCCGTGGATTAACAGCCAAAGAGCTTCAAAGTCACATCTGGTGGGAAGGACCCGACTTCCTAAAGGAAAATCCAGAAAAGTGGCCTCCGGAAACGCGAATCTTTGAGTTTCCGCAAGAAAACCAGCATCCTACACATAGCAGCAGATCAATCAAGCACATTTCCGTGGGATAGATTCAGCTCTATGAAAAAATTGGAACGCACCGTAGTGTGGGTGCTACGCTTCATCTGGAAGATTTCACAACATTTACCTCAGAACACACGCCTACGAATCAAAGACAAGATAGCTATCCACAGGAGAACCCACGAACACGAACATCACAGCTGGAGAGATGCGTAATGCTCATCATACCATCGTACTAATGCATCAAAACCAGTTCAAAAGTATTCGCGAAGCGAGTACTCAAAACAAGTTGAATATCCAGCAAGACCACAAGGGGATCTGGAGATGCTGGGGAAGACTAGGGCAAAATCATCTTTTTTCCCTAGTCTTCTCCAGCATCTCCAGATCCCCTTGTGGTCTTGCTGGATATTCAACTTGTTTTGAGTACTCGCTTCGCGAATACTTTTGAACTGGTTTTGATGCATTAGTACGATGGTATGATGAGCGTTACGCATCTTCTCTGTGGATAGCTATCTTATTTTTGATTCGTAGGCGTGTGTTCTGAGGTAAATGTTGTGAAATCTTCCAGATGAAGCGTAGCACCCACACTACGGTGCGTTCCAATTTTTTCATAGAGCTGAATCTATCCCACGGAAATGTGCTTGATTGATCTGCTGCTATGTGTAGGATGTTATTTTCTTGCGGAAACTCAAAGATTCGCGTTTCCGGAGGCCACTTTTCTGGATTTTCCTTTAGGAAGTCGGGTCCTTCCCACCAGATGTGACTTTGAAGCTCTTTGGCTGTTAATCCACGGCTTGCGCAATCTGATGGGTTTGATGTGGTACGAACGTATGCGAAGTATACCGTGATATCGTTGTTGTTAAACTCTTCGACTATGTTTTTTATTTTTTTATTCTGTTCTCGATGCATTCGTATTATGGAGTTCCATTTCGCTAGTTCATTTTAGAAACGTTACTTGTAAGCGATCATTGTTTCGATTTAAAGGAGGAATTCACGATTAGAATGAAGGTCGAAGAAAGGGAAACTGACCTAGTTGAGGGACCCACGGACCTCCTGAGGGTGCGAACTGACGCGCAATTCGCATGGAAAAATTTGACCTCGGCGACCTATCATGCCTCAAAGCTGGCGGGTCCGGCGATCTCCGCCCACCGATCATCTGATCACTCGCCGTAGTTCAATACGTGGCGAGTGATTAGATAGCTGAGAGAGCGTAGTGTCGTATACACGGATAATGAGCGTATACGAATACACGAGTACTCCAGTCATAAGGCAGATTATCATGCGAAATTCACTTTAAAGGACGAATTCACGATGAAAAAGCAACCCATTCAAATTAACCTAGGGATGGTGAGTGGTACACGAAAGAAGGAAGAACCATGAGAAACGGCCCAGAACCCGAGAAATGGTACCCCTTCCTTGCCCGTTGATTCGAGCATTGATGCGACTCTCATCGCCCTTCAACA